AAAAACCTTTCGGAGTTGTGAGAAAACAAACTCTTCACTAATGTACAACAAAAATTCAGCGTCTGTATAAACACACAAAAAAACTGATGGTCCGTTTGTTGGTGAAATGTTGCTCTCGTCACCCTGACAAGACCGGCTGAAACCACATCTCTCTTTCTTTTTGTTAAGAGGCACAAAAAGCTTATCCTCGCTTACAAAGTTCACTCCACTGCTGACAAACTGCATGAAAAAACAAACAGAACATGACAGATTTGATCAGAGACTTGGTGTGCACTGTTCCTGTGTGGAATGAAAGCACCATTTTTGTATTTTTGCATCAGAATTTTGGGTTTGGCTTTTAGGAAATCAGCAGGTGAAAAGCCCGAAGATTACATCATCATTACAGCCATCCAACGACAAACAAACACCAATTAACTGTCCCTTGGAATAAATGTAGAGGAGGTGATGGCGCAATGGATAAGACACATGCCTTTGGTGTGAGAGACCCAGGTTAGATTCCCACTGTGACCCATCCACCGTTGTGTCCCTGAGCCAGACACTTAACCCCTAGTTGCTTCAGAGGTGTGAAAAGCAAGTCACTTTGGATAAAAGCGTCAGCTAAATGTAAATATATATATATATATGTATATAAATGACTGAACAATCTCTGGAGGTTGGCTCTGACCATCAAGAAAAAAAGACTAGGAAAAGTAGACACGTGGCACGTTTAAGAGAAACATTTCCTCTGAGTCTGTTCCAATACTCGCGGGGAGGCATGGTCCTCCTGACCACGCAGTGGGGCCAGGTATCATTTGAAAATGTTCAGTACTAGGGGTGGGAGAAAAAATTGATTATTAGATGCATCGCGATGCGGATGTGGAAGATTCTGAATCAATTAAAAAGATGTCAAAAAATCTATTATTTAAATGTTAATAGATAACTTAATGTTGACGGAACGCAAAAGGTGGAACTCGTGGAAGCGTCTGTGGCGCGCACATGCCAGAAACCAGTTTTCCCTCTGTATTCAGCACACCACCGCCGTAGAATGAATAACCACCCTACTTAAATGTCACACAATCATTAATATCAATGCACAAGTAATGATTTTAACTCGCACACTGTGCCAGCATGGTGACACTGGGCAGCTCTCTGTGTATCCTGTGTGAGACAGAGCGAATGAGAGCGAGCGAGCTAAAGGCAGAACATGACGGTGAAAGTTAGCCGAGAAAAATATTAGCAGTAAGTTTCTGTCTGGTAGTAAACATGCAGTGTAGGTCACAGTGTGTCCATTAATAAGAGTCTGTAGTTTCCCCAAATGCTGGAAAAGTGAAGGCGGTTAGTGCAAGCTAACATCTCCCCTGTACAGCATGTTTTATGACTGTTATGTAACGTTAGATAAATTACCAGGCTCTAGGGCTGAAACGATTCATCGGATTAAATCGATTAATTCTATTACTTCATATAACTATACAGCACATTGTTTCGCACGGACATTTTTTACTGTCGCACATCGCGCTTACGCTGTATTATGATGGTGCTGTTTGCAAAGTGGAGGAAGAGAGAAAATGGTGAGGGACAAAGAAGAAAGTTTCCAAAGTCTGGGATTATTTCAAGCTAAAGAAAACAACAACTCTGTAATGTTACCGTCCGTCCACCGTAAAACGAAACTTATGTCGCCTCGGCAACAGCACGACGGCATCTGATCAGAAAGCAGCCGGTGTTCTGCCAGCGGACCACAGACAAGGTATCAGTAACTTTAGCATTTAGCTGAAATCATGATTGATTGTTGAGTTGAAGCCAAAGTAAGCCGCAGGCCTCAGCTGAAAATGTACACGTGCGTTTGTTGTTCTCCTTTTTGGGCCATGAGTTTGGGTTGTAACGTCTCAGTCAGCAGGTAACGGGGTGTCGGGGAGCTGCACCTTAGTATAACTTGTATAGCACTCGAGTGATGTTTGTGTTGGTAAAGCAGATGTCTGGTTGTTGCTCTGATGTTTGCTGTATGACATTATGAATTTGGGGGGGCCACCCCCAAGCAAAAGTACTTCTTAAACGATGCACTGATGAATTGACGAAATAAACTGTAACCTTACTAAAATCATTGTTGTTAACTGCAGCCCTACAGGGCTCAACGTTAATTTTTTTTTCAACTGTCCCTCCCTCTAAAAGTTATTTATCAGTGTCGCAACAAAACAAAAGGTTTATAAGTTATGTTATTCTGTTAACATGTTTAATCGTTTATTAAATACATCCTGGATATGAAAAAACTAAACTAAAATGTAATCAGGTCGCCATGGTAGCGACTTGTCAATCACAAGGTAGTATGGACTGCTTTATCATCTATTTCCCACTGAATATTATTATTAATTCACTAAATGAACATCACGCTGTGTTGAAGAAGACTTGAAACTAGCTACTGAGACCATCATAAACTCATCAGCAAAGTGTTTAAATCAATAAAAATAAATCAGCTAAGAAGTAGCAACATTTTACCATAATTTCTAATAGAACCAGAGTTCTTTTTGCAAAAACAGCGGACTCGCCCCCTGCTGGCCGTTAATGCAGGTTTAAGTTACGTTGGCATGGTTTCACTTTCAGACTCATTTGACAACCACTCATCACATTACTGCAACTCTCGATTGGCCAGCGGTGTGTCAAGAGCTGCAAAACAACTGCAGGATGCTCAGTTTCTAATGCGATGTTATTTTTGAGCCCTGAATTAGTAACAGTAATATTAATTAGCTCAGCAGTATGTCATTACTAACTTATCTACTTGTCAAGAGTTGAGAACATCAGGTACAAGCATGGACACATACTGTACATCCTAATAATTATTTTTCAGTTTTCTGAGGAGCCTGACAACTGGTTATTAAAGAAACGAAGGACTATGGAGCTGAGGTTAATGAAGTAAAAAAAAGCAAATTAAATGCTTAGTAATTATCCAGAGATCCTGTATAGAAAATAATGATGCATCAAGAAGCATCGATAATTGTTTTATAATCACATCACAGCCCTCTGAATCGGAATCGAATCGTGAGGTGCGCAGAGATTCCCACCCCTATTCAGTACTATTGCTGATACAATACCTGAGCGTTGGTAGGGACACTGCCCTGAGAACCCCAGGTGATGTCATCCATGTCTTATTCAAACCCATAGAGACTCAGCTTACAGTGATGTACAGAGAGCAGCACATCCTCACACAGGCGAAGCTGGAACCACCGAATGCTGACAGTGCTAACTGATGAATAACTTTAACCAAAAATCTGTTATCAAAATAATTAACCCTAACTAACTGATTCATTGAATAATCCTTTCACCAGCTAGCCATCACAGATCACAGATCAATACCACACTGTAAATATTCATCGCCCACCTCAACCAAGACATCAGCTTGGCCATGGTCACCTCAAAGAGCTGCAGTCCTCACTCTGAGCACAAGTAATATATAAGCCCATGGGGGGGGGCTCAGGAACAGGTTCCGGTGTGATGCTTTCACAAACAGGACATTGCTTGTCCAAGTCCAGAAATGCGTTCAGGAGCCATTATCTCCACAATGGACCCTCCAAGCTGATAATATCTCGACCCACGTCTACATCTGATCGAGTGCTATCTCACCAGTCATGAATTATTACTGCACTTGTGAATGATGCATTTTGACCAGATCAATGGATGAACTAAGCCCCTGATTGTGTGTGATAGGACTCTGACAAACATGCCTGGATATGTAGAAGGCCCCAGAGCCCACAGGGCAGACCTGCAGAAGTGACTGACTTGAGGCTGAATGACCCCTACAACAAAATTTAACAGTCATCAATTATTAACTCAGGTTTATGAGCCTGCTTGCTGCTGGGGATAAACTGTCACTGTCTATGTTCAAGATGCGGCCCACACTCTCACATATAAACTGTAATCCGTCTTCTGATTTGGGCAGCTAGAGAACAGGGTTTGTGTTAGGCCCAGCCTCACCTTAGTTTCCTGTGCAGAACGCCGAACCCAATTCAAAATATCAATTGTTCCTGTGGACAGTGGCGAGTTTACATCCAGGTATAGAACCTGGAACGCTGTCCATCATTAACATATACTCTGGAATACTAAGATGATCCAATGAACCAAGCAACTCTGAATCCAGTACAAACTGGACCTCTCTCCGCCTTGGGACGTGATGCTTAACAGCGAGGAGCAGTTCTGAACACTGACATTTTACTACACTAACGTTACTTTCGATCATTGATAATAGGTTATATGGCTGCCGAATTCCCCGCAGGGAACTACTGATTCAAAAATGGCTGTTAAGTTATGTGTTATCAAATACGTGAATTTACCAGGAAGCAAGTTGTTTTGAAATTGAAAGATCTGGAAGGAGTTCGGTGTTTTCTCCAGGCGCAGACAGACCTCACTGGGGCACAGACTGGGAATCCAGGGGATTTCTGCATCTCGACAACGCAGGGCCAAATAAGATGGTGTTAGGTGTTAGGAAGGTAACAGAGTGGTACCACACTTCTCCATTTCCAGCGCCTCCTCTCATGGGAGGCGCCTCCATCCATCATGGGGATGAGGGATGCTGCGAGGGCGGATTTGGATAGCCTGGCTAGCCAAGCGGTACCCCACACTGGCAGCGGGTCCATAGGTGGGTCTGCTGCTAGCATCCGGCTGCAGGAGCAGGTTAGCTGCATTCCAGCAAAGAGACGGCGATGTAGACCGACAGGTGCAACAGCATCATCACCAGCGGTCCACAGCCCGCTTCCTCCCTCCCTGACAGATACCCAGAGAAAAAGCCCAGGCCACCAACCAGCAGCCCCGAGACACACAAAACAAGCCCGGATGCAGAGATTTGTTTTTCATGAGCAAAATTGTTGAACCGTGTGAGCGAATGAGTGCGAGCTAGCTAACATTAACGCCCGCTTCAGCAGGCGACCGAACGAAGCGCGGCTAGCCTCGGCGCTGGGCTGGCTGCTCTGAGATCGGGCTTCCAATGAAACAGCGAGCAGGACAGAAGCGAGCAGTGTGTGCGCTGTTCCACTCACCTCTCTGCCATGTTCACCGTAGTTCTTAAAATCCGTTCACAGTAAATCCCTCAACGTCTCCCATGTTGCCGAAATTGCGATCGCCGCAGTCAACGAGTCACTCCTTCCAGACCAGCGTCAAGGTCGCAACAATACCGAACATCACATCCGATCAGTACCTTCACAATAAAAGTTTCATCCCAATCGTGTCAAAGTGCTGCCAATTTTGGGAAATATAACCCCGAAGTACCACAGAAATTATAAATGAGATACGGTTCTTAGATAAAGGTGACCTGGTTTTATGCCACACAGTCATAAACATATAGCAGTACCTGTTAAATTAAGTCTGTTGTTATAGTTATATATTTAATCATCTGTTCAGAGCATCTGTTTACAAAAACTGATACCGTTAGTCTTCTTACCTTTATATATCATTTCACAAACATGCATGTCAGTCTCAAAGCTGCTAAAACAAGATGTCCATCCTTAGTGTATTTTATTAACACACACTACAAACCTGTATTATGTAAGTTCATGTAAAACAATCATCCACGCATTCAGGTGGCAGCTTGTGTAGCTACTCTAAGCTGATCTCTATCTTGACCAGAACGGCGCCACAGTCACAGTCACAGTCAGCAGATGCCACTACAAATATTCTGCTTCCCTCACAGCGGCGCCCAAGACAAATATGCAATGACCGAAAGCGCGAATGTTCACATCTACTATTTTATTCTGAAGTTAACTTTCAATAACGTCCGGTATTGTTCTGGCTAATTTTAGCTAACGCGACGCAAAAGGGAACTAGCACTGCCTGTGGTGAATTCATGTTAAATGGAAAGGAGTGTATGGGATTGTTGTTGCTAATGAATATGTAGTATAAAAATCCTGCTCATCAGATATTCCAGGCGCTAGATTTTATTCCTTTGTCAGGGTTTAAGGCACGGCAGCCGGTGGTAGCGTGTGCTGGGGCACCCCGGACAGGTCTTCACCGCATCACAGGCACACCGACACTCCCATCCACAGCCTACCTGAGGACTGTTAGGAGACATCCGCCCATATGACTGTGGGATGGAAATGATGAGAACACAGGAGCAGCATGACGACCTACAACTGACCAGGAGTCAGACACGAGCAGACTACTACAGCAAATGATATTTTCATTCCATTTCAAATTAGGATCCTAAAGTGATGGAACAAGTGTACTGTACTCAGTTCTTTGTCATTGTCACATTCTTAGTTTTTCCAAACGAAAGATATTTCCAAATGATGGTCTGCCCTCGAAAAAGCCCCTACGAAACACTGAGTCATCTGGTTTTTGGTGATTAGATTAGTTAGTTAGCCTACCTTCCTGCCAAGACCATGGGAAATTGTCTTGTCTGACAATTGATGAGGACAAATGGCTGGAACATTATCAACAAACAACATGATTTAAGCAAACAAGATTCACACATTTCAAATCTGTTACAGCATTTGCACCTTTAAAGTAGAACTTCAACAAAAGAAAGTCCTAATCCTGTTGCCCTGTTTAACAGGGGGACCTCTGGGATCAACAGGGCCCTACAGCACATGTTGTCTGTATGTTCTTTATCTGTATATTAATGCTTGAATCAGAAGGCCACAGATGTTATCACTCATTTAGCAAGTAAAACTAATGCCGAGTTATTTTTTTCCAGCAACACTGAAGTTTAACATTCAGGCTCCTGATAAGCTCTGTGTCAGCTGTGTGTGTGTGTTTCGCTGGGGACTGGAATGGAACATGGGGACAAAAATCGAGGTCCCCATAGGTGGAAATCCTTTTGGAGGGTTAAGACTTGGTTGTGGGGTTCAGGTTACAATTAGGATAGAGTTAGGGGCTAAGGCGTCACTTTGTGTTGTAAAGTGGTGGGGACGTAAGGGCTCAGATTAGGGGCATGATGACACACTTGGTTCACGGGATGTGACGCTGCACGAGAACAAGGTGAGAAGATTTTTAACACTACTTTGAAGAAATATGAAATGCTGAAATATCTGACATTAAACATTCTGGAGACATTTGCTGCTCCAATTTACAGTGGAAATGTTTTTATTTATATAAAGGGAAACAAAAAAATCAGCTGGCAGGTGATATTTCAGAATATAAAAATATTACAGAATATAATGCAGTAAACAGGAGCTTGATTATTTTTTAGCTTAAGCTACTACTTGTTTGACAATGTACATTTCTTTTATATTTAAAATATATGCCATGTTTTCTTCTTGTGCAAATCAACCTTTTCTCAAAGCATTTTCATGTGTTAGTTAACATTTCTTGGTGCAAGCTGTTTTTCAGAACCTTTTTAACAAATGCTTTCAAAACGTGATGTGGACAAAATCAGCCATTTCAAAATGTGGTGGGGACATGTCCCCAACGTCCCCAGTGTAAATGACACCTATGAAGGGAATACATATGTAATGAAACGTCCCCACGGGGATAGAGGGACAAACGTGTGTATGTGTGCGCGCTGATTGCGACCCCAAGTGGACATTCAGCTGAACTTCTGATGAATGGCATGTGAGTGTGAGATAAATACTCCCAGACTACATTAAAACATTCTCCTTCATACAAATTAAATATTAAGAAAAAGCATGCCTTTGGAGAGAGCCACGTGATTCCTCAGATAAACGAAGTGTAAACTATTAATATGATTTCATCTAAAATAACAACAAATATGGGGAAAACTACAACTGCTGTGAAGAGAATCAGAAAAGAGATTTGTTATATACAGAGGCTGCCTTTTTATCAGCCACTGCCTTTCTGAATGATTTCTCAGCAGACTTCGCCCTGCACACAGCTACCTAACCAGGAACAGCTTCATCTACAACAGAGTCCCTGTTTAGACTTTAGTCTTACTGAAGTCCAACAATCTGGAATTCCATTCCCACAAACTTCGTTTTCAAATGATTCTTTTCTTCTTTTCTGTGCTGTTATGATGTTAGCTTATCTTAATTAGCTCTGACTTTTTAGCTTTCAATTTCTAATGCAAATAATAACAAACAAGAAATAATACCACAACTACCCCAGCAAATGCTTCTGCTCTTATCGTATGCCCGTTATGTCATTTATGAGTAATAAAGTCTAAACCTTAATACTGTGGATGAAACCCCCCCGGAGCCAGACACAGGTGAAAAAGCCTTTCTCAGACAGACAGACTTCAGTCTAGTAAAAAAGTCTTGCTCTGCTGTTACAGACTTCACCTATTGTAAAATTCTCAGTTAATATGAGCTGTCCACTGGGAAAGAAATGGAAGTGTTATGTTGTGGGGACAGAGTGGACCCAAACGCAACACGATGAACAGGCTTTATTGAAGGGGAAAAGGGGTTGAGGGAGTGGAGGTGAGGGAGAGGCGGACGGTGAACCGAGGAGACTGAGACAAGGGAGCCCTGGGGACCGAGGAAGTAAGGAGGCATGGGGAGGAGCCGGGAGGACGCCGTGGAAGAGGTCCGAGGGGGGGAGGGCAGGGTGGTGAGCCCAGCTGACTGAACGGAGGACAGAGGTGAGTGAACCTGGAGGGGAGACGGACAGACATTTGTCTGACATCATTTACAAATGCTGCTGCTAATTGAGACTGAAAATCTGTAGCTTGTAGAATCAGATTAAGAAAAGCTACAACACAAGAAGCAGAAAAAGAACAAGTGATTGCTTTTAATGCTAAAACTGGTTACAAGCATTTGCTGCTCTGGTAATAATCCAATGCCATTGCTGGTGAGTTTAAGGACTATGGAAGCACATATGTGTCAAAGGTTAGCAGGTTTGATCCCTGGACTAACAGTATGACTCTAGATGTTAAATAAAGGTTAGAAAAATAGAACATAAATAAGAACAATAAAGGTTCAAATCCTGACCAGGTGCTTTCCACCTTTCATGCCATTCCATTCATTTAGCTGACGCTTTTATCCAAAGCGACTTACAATTGCTACACATGTCAGAGGTCATACGCCTCTGGAGCAACGAGGGGTTAACTATCTTGCTCAGGGACATTGTGTCACAGAGGGGAGTGAACCAAGGTCTCTCACACCAAAGGCATGTGTCTTATCCACTGCTCCATCACTACCCCACCTTTCATACCTTAACAATTCAATTACCAAGGTATCATCCCTGTATTATTAAGTCATAATACCTGAAATATAAGTTTAGATACAGTACCAGTCAAAAGTTTGCACTTACCTTTCCATTCACTTGAATGAGTGCATCCAAACTTTTGACTGGTACTGTAGATAGATAGATTTATAATATAACAGACAGATAGTCTATATAATCTGTGGTCAGTAGCTACTTGCACCAATGAACAGTGAATTGCTTTCGAACGGTAATAGTACAATGTACAATTACACAGTGTACAGGGTAGACTGGTAGGTATTGGCAGGGATCATACAGTACGTGTAAATCTTGTGTTTCTGTCGTTTCACAATGCCAAACTGACCTTAAAATAATCTTTGTCTGTCTTAACAAAACTAAATTTAAATTGGGAGTGTTTACTCGTTTCCTTGCAGGGATCAGTGATGTGTTTCAACAGTTTAACCCTTTATAAATAAAGTTCCATCTCATTACCATGAAGCCACTTGGATATGTAACGTAGACTCTAGTGCCTCTCTCTGGCCACTGCTGGTACTAATCCTTGGCAAACATCTTGGCGCTTCAGTATTATTTTACCTCAAACCAAAGTTTACTGTTTTACATTGTAAATAGGATCAAAATCACATCCCCACTGTTTTATATGGAGAGGATTATTGTAGATATACTGACATAACCCACTGTCGCATTAAACTTCTGTTTTACAAGCAAAGCTATTGTTTGGGTGGAGTCTGTTTTTCCCCCAAATTAATCACAATCCATCTGATCTTTCAGTCAATCAATCTATTTGTCCCGAAGGGAAATTAGTTGGCAGAACAATCAAGTAGGCATTACTTCATACGCCACAGAGAGAACCTTTCAGTCTGGTCTGGTGCTTGAAACAGGTACCTACAAACTGTAAATAGATATAACATCCCTGCAGATGAGACCTTTTTCTGGCTCTCTCAAAACTGCTGTTGTTAGGTTTCCATGTTTGTTTTCAGTGTTTTCTGTTTTAGTCTGAGGGTTGTCTGTCCCTACTGTTCTTGTCTTGTTTTACTTTCTGTCTTTG